AATTTTCTCTCATCTTCTTTTTAATTACCTATTAGTTCTTTTACTGTATGTCCCATAGCCACGCTTGTGATGGTAAACAATTTTAGAAAAGCCTCAAAATATTGCAAAGTTGAAACTCTTAGGAATTCAAAAAGAATGAGTTTGTGAGCTCAGCTCCTTATGGTACTTGGGGCAAATGTTGAGAATTCAAGTGATGTGTTGTAGGCAGATTTGTGCTCCCTTGATACATACCAGAAGGCGACCGTTTTGGTATTGCAGATTGGTCTGACGCAAACACATAGAGCAATTCTGTGAGGCCTGAAAAATGTAAGAGTGGAACAGCAGCGAACCAAACCTGAAGGGAAGCTTTGGAGTACAGCAGGCAGTGGAGAGCTTATGAATCATTGGGAGGTCTTATAACCCTGTGATTGAGTTGAGACAGAATCTAGATGAAAGCTGCCTGCGTAAGTCCTGATGAAGCTGGTGTTCTTCTCAGTCGAGTTTCTTGAGCTTCAGTGAAAACTGTTACGAGGCAAACAGGTAACTGGTAAACAGGTTACTCTTAAACAGGTTACTGGTTTGTGTTGACGTGAGACAGAAGGCTCTTGGGCACGAGTTGTTAAGGATGGGCGTTTGCTGTGGAAAGCACAGCCGTGCCAGTACCATCTCAACATGACTCAAAGGAAAACCAGTGCTACCTTACTGATGAAGGGGATAGAAGGCTGCTCTGTGACCACGCTGTATATAGTCCCCAGCAAAAGAAGATATATGGCCCCCGGTAACTGCTTTACTTCTCAAAGTAACGTTCAAAGACTCTACAGGCATCCAGGTGTATCCGGAATTGTGCAGTGTCTGGGTTTTAATCCCCTTTAGAAGGTGAAGTTGAAGGTACTAAGCATCAAGACTTAATTCAGCAATCATTTATGACTTAAATATGGTTTATGAAATAGTTTGAAAGTTTGTAGTGCTTCTTAGGTAACTACTTCTTCACTAGTACTAAGCCTCCTGGTTAGACAGCCGCATTTGCTTTTTGTCATCCATTTAAACTAGAGCTGGGTAGATTTACACTAGGTATCAGGAAGAAATTCTTCACTGTGAGGCTGGTGAGACACTGGAACAGGCTACCAGAGAGGTGGTGGAGGCTCCATCCCTTGATGCATTCAAGGTCAAGTTGGATGGGGCTCTGAGCAACCCGATCTAGTTAAAGATGTCCCTGCTCACTGCAGGGAGTTGGGTGAGGTGACTTTTAAAGGTCTCTTCCAATCCAACACATTCTATGATTTTATGGTCACCTAACAGGTCAACAGTTACCTATGTCCAGACCCATGAGTGTCGCTAAACCTTCAGTCTGAGAAGCTGAGAAGCTTATTTCATTGGCCCTTGTGCTAATTGGTGATTGTGGGAATAGAAGGGTAAATGATGTATCCTTTGGACTGTTTGATGCTGTGGCAGAGACTCCTATTTTTCAATGATTTTGAACTATCAAATTTTTTTATTTATCTCATTTTTCAGGGTAGTAAACGATGAAAGAATAAGGATGTGATACTTACAAGGAGATAGACATTGCTAAGCCTTAACATTGTGTTGAAATGTCAGTCCTGTAAAATTAAATGCTGTTAAGTCTGCAGTTTTATTATAGATGAAGAAAACAGAAAAGTATGTGTAAGAATACATGATAGAAAAAAGACAAGATTAAAGACTATATTTTGGTGTATCCTCAGAGTAAACAAAAAGTAAACCTTGTAGGACAAGTATATTTTTATGTATGAGAGCTAATAAAAATGGGCATTCCAGTTCCAATGACCTTAGAATAAAAATACTGCCAGATTAATAAAAATAATATAGAGTATTTACATAGTATCTTCTCTGCATCCCTCAGTTATTATGGCTACTGATATGATTTGGAAAATATATTGTTTAAAATAGAGACTCTTCATTGTGGGAAGAGTAATGTAATATCACAATATATAAAACTTATTTTTTTCAAGAAATAAAAATTAGACTATAACCATAGAGTAGTAAGAAAACAGAGTATGTTTTTTCTTCTCTATAGAAAACTTAATAATGATTAAATTCACTGTTAACATATGGATAAATGTAAATATCAATTACATGACTAGAGTAAGTCAATTAGTATCAGCTGGTGTGATAGACTTGTCTGAAAATGTAGGTTATTTAGTCAAAGTTATTGAGGCTTTTTCTGCTTACTTTGTAAGTTAGAAAAAACACTACCTTTTCAACCCTGTGTTCCTGCTGGGTTTGTCTGACCGTTGGTGATCCTGGATCAGTCCTCTCTCGGGTTTTTCGAGCACTCGAAGAAGACAGAACCCTGTTTTCCACTCAGCAGTAAGTGGTTGCGTTTGTGCCTGAGCTGAATAAAAAAGGATGCTGATGCTTTCTTTACTCAGAAAGCATTATTTACTGTGTCAAGTTCTTCCTCCATCCTTTGTGCCTGGAAAATTGAGAATTGTGCTGGTTTTGTATTTTTGTTCCTTTATTCTTTTTCAGTATTAATACATTATTTTACTTTTGGAGATCAGACGTTGGCAGTTGTGCAACTGTCTCTTTGGGAAATCTATTGGCATTCTACAGCTTTTTCAAAGCAAACCTGATTGTTTTCTGGACTTAATCCGAAGAAAAATGGTTATTATAAAATTGAAACCGTATGAAATACTTTTTTAAAATAAAAAGTGGTGGGATGTAGCGAAGTCTATCAATTTGGCACCCAGGTGTGTTTTTTAAGTAATGGTTGGCATTTCTGTTCTGCCTTGGAGACATTCTGTCATTATTAGTCCACCATTAGAAACAGGAGTGCAAAAGGTTTGTAATTTTTATTCACTCCTGCTATGCCAGCTCTTTTTTTCTCCTTATGTCCTTCCCTTTCTTGATTTTCTTCTTTCTTGCAACTTTCCTTACAAAGCTGAGAAACCAGGAGATGAGCAATAAGAGGAGAAAGGTAGTAATAAAGATAAAAAAATGATTAAACCAGAATTTTGGCCCGGTAGAAGAAAAGATAAATGTGGTAACAGCAGAAGAGAAACTTTTCTGGCACAAGTTTTGTGCCCACGCAGGAAAGGTTAGTGGTGAGAGAGTTCTCCAAAAGCCCCTCTTCCACATCTCAGTGCTAGTGTACTGGCTCTGACTGAAGTAGCACATTTTTAAATGTTCTTTGAAATGAAATAAAGACGGCTTCTTATCAGTTTGTGTTCAGAAGCACCTGCTAATTAAAGGAACAAAATGAGTGATAAACTTGACGAGATTACGGTCATGAAGTTTCGAGCCTCATTTACTGCTGTCTTAATTTGGAGATGTTGGAGTACAGCTTTCTTCTTTTTGCCTTGTGGAGTGCTGAAAAGCTAAAACAGTACTAGTAGTGATGTAGTTTGTAGGTTTTGGGGTTGTCTCAAGGACATTTCAAGGAGCTGGCTTGTAGCTGGAAATGCTGGGCAACCAGTCCGAGGGTTTTCTGTTGTTCAGTAAATGGTAACTCCTTATGACAACTGTTAATAAAGTAAAGTAGCAGCTTCCAGAGGGATGGATATAGTACAAATCAAAGATTTTTATGTGTCCTTATAAAACATTTTAAATTGATCTTCCATAATAAAAGGCAGAAAAGCCTTCATGGTTTTGACGCATCTTGTGCAACTGGAGTGTGTTTATTACATGAATTAATACAAATTGAATTGGTAGTCTTCTCCAATTGGTCTAAAAGCACGTAAACATTTTTTCCTGAGCAGAATTTAAAGATAAGTGTTTTTATTACCTCTGTCAACTCTAAACCACCAAAACCTGAAATGTCACCTTTTATTCCTACTAATCCTTCTGCTCTGTTATTTCATAGGCATTTCTCATTTCAAACACTTCTGCTGTTTTGTCATGTTGATGCTCACTGGGAATAGGGGCCAATGAGGCCCATTCTCCAAAGTTTTTGGAAGGGCTCCCTGTAGCTGCTGTTTTCAGCATGACTCTTATTTATCGTACTTGGCCGACAGTCTGATGAATACAGCTTCCTTCTTCTTGTTCCATAGTTTGTTTGGGTTTTTGACCTACCATGCGCCTCCTGACCTTCTGCACACATTATTTTTCACAATTTCCTTTAATCAAGACTGAAGAGAGAAGCATCTACTGAGTGTGAAGTCTCTTCTGAGGCTGAGTATAGAAGTCCCAAAAGATGACCATTGAAAGGGGCTCAAAAACTCTCCTTTTCACAAACATACTACGATAGGATTTCCTGTTATAAGTTGTAGTTGCTTAGGGTTGTAATAGCTTTAAAAACATATTTCTTTTTAGTACTGATAGAATTTCATGAAATAGTGTATGGCCTATAAAAGTATGAGGTGGTTTTGGAACTGGAACACTGTAGACTACCACATGATGAAAAATCTAGAGCAAATTGCAAAATCCTCTGATTACAGAATGCTGGTAAACATATACTTTTGTTGTGTGTGGATGATGACAACATAAAAACAACGAGGAGTTGCAGTGCTAAATTAGAATACCAGGTCTTGTAGAAGGAAGTGTTGATGCATGAACATACTCTTTAATAGGATGTGACTGTTGTACATGTCCTTCATTCTTGTCTTCTGCCTGGAAGTGACTCTGTTTTCAGAAGGGCTGATTTGTGGAAAGGTGGGTTTTTCTAGTGGTGGACCAAGAGAAAGAAGAAAAGAAGAAAAAATCCCTTGGTTGCATTGTTTAGAATAAACAGTGCTTTTGGGGAGGGACAAGGCATTAATTTTCTAGGGGCAGGTTGTTTAGTTTGTGGATTTTTGTATTTGTTTGGTGGTTTGTGGGTTTTTTTGAACAGGACTTGATTCAAAATACACCCTTTTGGACATCTGTTAAATATTTGTGTGCAATACATTAATTAGCTTTGGTTTAGGCTTTGCTGTAAGCTGATTTCAGATGGATAATTTGTAATGCCTTTGAGGAAAATGAAGTTCTCTTTGTACAAAATTGTTTTAATAATATGTCTCTGGAAACAACGATTTCAGGTTTTTTTGCCTTTTTTTTTTTTGAACAGGTAATGTCTGTACACAAATTGCAAGCTAGTCCCTAGTGGGGACACCGTGGGAGGATGAACACAGAGGAGCTGGAGCTACTGACTGATTCCAAGTACAGAAACTATGTAGCAGCTGTTGACAAAGCGCTGAAGAACTTTGAATATTCCAGTGAATGGGCAGATTTAATATCAGCACTTGGAAAGCTAAACAAGGTATGCCTAGCAGGTGCTCACGGAAAAAAAGTCAGGAACTAACAAAGGGTACTGGTATAAAAATACAGAAGTGCAAGGTTCTAGCAGTCTAATTCTCCTGCAAATATTTCAGTATTTTTAGCCAGATGTTGGGTGTCTGCAAGGAGCAAACAAAAGCCTCTGTAAGACTTTGTAACTCTAAGTAAAGGGAAAAGTTATTTACATTTCTGGTGAAAATAACTGCTATGGTTTTTTTATTACTAACATTTACTTCTAATGTCATTCAGTATTAGTGTGAAAAATAGTAGCCAGTATGAATATCAGCAATATTTTTATGAAGCATGAGTTATAAAATGGAGCTCAAATCATTTGTTGACCATGGAGTGTTATTATTCTGATTAATTTTAAAAGTTAGTAAGTTGAATGTGTAATATAATCCTGATCTTTAATAGCAGTTTACAGATAAATACAGATCTTGATATCAGTAAAAATCTTGTTCTAATCAGTCCTCTGTATGTCTAGGGGTCTCCAGTCAGGGTCGTGAAGTTCCCTTTGCATATACATTTTTTACCAATGTGAAGCTTTGCAGAATATGGCATAGAAAAATACAGATCTGAAGCACTTACATTCTAACCTTAAACTTTGTGGCAGATCAAGAATGACAGTACAGTTGGCAAGGCCAATGGCATAATTTCTTTGTGTAAACTCCCATTTCTGTAATTTTTTTCATTGTAATAGTTCTTGCTGCACATATATACAAAGGGAAGGCTACAATATTGGGTAAGAAAAATTTAAAGATGTAAGTGCATCTCTGTGTTCAGTCCTGAAGTGTTTATATAGTTTCAGGCGCTGGTAAAGTTTTGTGTGTCTCACTCTCTGAAGGTTTCTTAAAATTTTCCCAAACTTGCCACCCACAGTTTAGTAGTCTTCTTTGAGCTACTGGCAATTGATTTTAACAAATGGAGATAGTAATTTTTTTCCTCAAGAGGATGAGTAAAATGAGATGGACAAGCTGTAAGTGAGGAGTTCATTGCAAGTGAAGATTTAAATGCCTTGCTAATTCCATCTATAGCAAGTGTTCCAGCAGAAGGCATTGCAAAGGAAGAGGTCATGTTAAAATGTACATGTCATGTACATATTAAAAATTGTTTTATTTTTCTCATATTCTGACCTAGGTATGTGTTGTGACTTACTGTTCAGGAACTCATTTACAAAACATAGAGTTGTTTAACTTGTTTTGTACTGTTTTTCTTAATGTGTTTATTTATTAGGTACTACAGAACAATGCAAAATACCAGGTAGTACCGAAAAAGCTCACGATAGGTAAGCGCTTAGCACAATGTCTCCATCCAGCATTGCCAGGAGGGGTTCATCGGAAGGCACTTGAAACATACGAGATCATTTTCAAAATCATTGGACCCAAGCGTTTGGCCAAAGATCTTTTCCTCTACAGGTACAATAGTTTAAACAACTCCATTCCAAGTGCGTGGCTGAGATGCTTTTGGTTCCCTGCATTTTACATTGATAATACTGCTTTGTTACATACTAAGAAGCAAGGATGTTTTTTCCCTTGTGTTACTGCTGCTATGTGGTTCTCTTCTGAATATTGTATATTATTAGAATATTATATATCACCGAAATACCATTTAGGAACCAACTTTAGGGCCAGAAAACTTGGAATTTATTACTTCTTCATTGAAACAAACCAAATTTTATGCATGTATATACAGTAATTGAAGTGTTAATGCTTATTTCGTTGTACTACATTACTTTTTTTCTGAGTAGTATCGGAAAAGAATCTTACTATACTTTATTGCAAGAAACTTTCTCTTCCAAACAATCTAATCAACAGGACAGACAGATTGTGTTTTTGTTAGAATGACAGGCAAGTACAAAATTTTTCTGTCACTCCCTAGAACTGATGATAACAAAAAGGAAGGATAATGTTGAAAAATAAGCAGAGGGAAACTATACTGATACACTAAACTTCCAATGTGTTTTTGGTTGGATGGGATGGGCAAGACATTAAGTTATTTATTGTATAATGCATAAAGAGATGTGTGCATATGGATATATACACAGTCACACATGGTTCTTAATGCTTAGCTATCCCTGGAGATTAAAATTTCATCAATTTGAGAAATAGTGGAATAAAATAGTGTTCTGTTTAGGTAGCAAAGATGTGTATTAATGCTTGGAAATAAAGTGTATGCCTTAAATCAACTATTCTGTCTTGCATTGTCAAGATGTTTATATATAGTTACATTTTTTTGTGCGGGGGAGGGAAGTGTCTCAGTTCTGTGTTTCCACAGGGTTTTAAAGATTCTGTGAATGTTTTCCTGTCACGTTTTTGCTTGCACAGTGTTTCAGTAGCTGCAATATCTTGTTAACAGTAAGTTCTAGGGTAGTGGAAAATGTGACCTTTGTAATGTAACTGAAAGCCATTGTTACTGATGCTTGGGAGAAGACTGACATTCACGTTAAGGCATCATCAAAGATTCCAGTATTTTTTGTGAAAGCAGAGTGACAGTGTTGGAACATCAAATCTTGAAGGATGAGTAGTAGCCTCACAAAGACAGACTGTGGGGTAGTGCGCTGGTTGTTGAACAAAAAGACATTTTCTGCAGAGAGAAGAAACCAATTGACAATGGCAAAACAGTGGTTTTTCTAAAGAGATAAAGGCAAAAATAATTTTTACAAATGTTTTTTGTACATTTGGAAATTATTTTTTTCTTTTAAAATGAGTAACACTGTATCCACAGAGATTTATTTTTTTAATAGTAGATTTATACATTTTAAGACTCTTGCTTCAAAGTTATCTTTTTCAATATTCTTTCATTTTCTTTTTCTTGTGTCAGGGGTCTTCTGACCTGAGTTCTCAGTGACTTAGAAAATTGCTGTTTTGTTCACTTACCTTTGATTATTGGGACTGTTTCTAATAATTTATGATATTTAGTAACAATAGCAAAAATGTTTTTAATAACTTCTCCTTAGCTAATCACATTTGTAACTTTCACGAACTTGCTCTTATATTCATAGTAAACTCAAAACATTCTTCCAATATTTTGAATCCTTTTAAATGCTGCATCATGAACAATGGGTTTATTGTTAGAGAATCTGCTTTCAGACTGAATTTCTGAAGTAAATATATACTTTGTTGTTACCTAACAGTAAAAATATCTTAAAATTTATCTCTAGGTTACTTGAGGTAAAAATATCCTAAAATTTATCTTTAGATTACTTGAAGTAACCTAAAGTTACTAAACTAAAGTTACTAACCTAAAGTTTTCTTCCAGAAAAGTATTTCTGTTTATTTCTTCAAATGTTTTCATCTATTTTTGTTTTTTCTTAATAAGTGCAAGGACTATGTTTTTTAAATACGTTTTTCATTGTGGTGTAGTTCAGCATGGGCAAAATTAACATTTTTGTCTTACAGAAATGGTTCTGGTTTATTGTATTTGTTTTATTGGTGAAAAACACAATCATCTCTGGGCCCTCAGTGCTTGTTGTCACAAGAGTAATAAAGCTCTTCACATACCAACCTGTCAATCTGGAAGGCAGTTATATTGTGTGGTGACCTATGCCTCTGCAAAATTATAAGATAAAAACCTGATCCTTAAAACTACACCAGACATGCCCATGACAGTCTTAACATGTAAATAAAATCGTGTCACATGGGAAGCTTCATAAAAAAAAAAAAAAATTTATTTTTCACAGTTCCGGACTATTTCCACTCCTTGCCAATGCCGCTATGTCAGTCAAGCCAACATTGTTGAGTCTGTATGAGATTTATTACCTCCCTTTGGGGAAGACGTTGAAACCAGGACTGCAAGGACTGTTAACTGGAATTCTGCCTGGATTAGAGGAGGGGTCAGAGTATTATGAAAGGTAAGGACAGATACTTTAATAAGCTGATATGTTTGATTTGGAGTGGGGGTTTTTTGCTGCAACTTTTCATCAAATGCTTGTATGTGAATTTTTTATTTTTTTTTAAATAGGTGGTGTTTGATTTCAGCCAGTCATATTAATTGCAGTGGAATAGTATGGTAGAAGATTCTTAACATTAAGTATGATAAATTAACTGTTAGTTGCTCCTGTTATTGAAATGGAATTGACATTAAGTAGACTTAGTGTTATATGTTGGTCTCTATTCCCAAGTGACAAGGAACAGGACAAGAGGAAATGGCCTGAAGTTGGACCAGGGCAGGTTTAGATTGAATATTAAGAAAACATTTCTTCACCAAAAGAGTTATTTAGCTTTGGAACAGGCAGTCCAGGAAAGTTGTTGCATCACCATCACTGGAATTATTTAAAAGATGTGTAGATGAGGTGCTTAGGGACATGATTTGGTGGTGGACTTGGCAATGTTAGATTAATTGTTGAACTCGGTGATCTTAAGAATTTTTCCAACCTAAACGATTCTAAGATTCAATGATTCCTGTCATGGACTGAGATATGTAACGTGATAGGAACATGCTGCTTGATTCTTTTCCATGGGATGATGATGATGATAATAATAATAATAGAAATGTGATACTGCTGTATTATTCCTGGTCTAAAATGCATACCTTAACTGAATTTAAGATAATAAACAAAGCTTCCATCACTAATTTTTACTCATTTTGATATCAAAATTGTCATCAAACCACCTATATAAGAGACATCAATAAGCCACCTATCTTTATAGGTTATTATTTCTATCAGAGTGGCCTGGGATGGAATAGCTTTCCTTATCCAGCAAGCCTAAGCCCTAGCTGAGTTATCTTGACTGGGGAGGACATATGAAATGCTGAAGTTACACTCCCAAGGCTTTGAATTCTTGGAATTTTTCACCCACTTACATGTTCTTGATATTTGCAACCTCAGAAGCTAGAATTTTTGCAACTTGCATGTAAAGAGCGATTTAACATTGTCTTTTTCTATCGCTGCATAGGTAGATAGACACAACGTAATTGGCATCACTATCACAGGGAGCAACAGCTACTCAGTTGTCTTCCCAGGGCCTGCCATAGGGTTTAGAGGTGCTGCTAAGTGAGTGAGGAGATGTGAGGACAGGGAAAGGGATTACTTGGTCTCAAAGAATTGTCATGTTTTTATGCCCTGTTATTGCCAGAAGCGCTCAGTGCAGGGCATGAGAGGGCATAGTCATTTGCTTCATCCTTTTCTTCAGTAGCTATTCTTTTATTCTGTCTGCCTGTAGCAACAGTTGGCTTTAAGCAGCAGATGAGGAAGTTGTTTGGCTTTTTGAACGTAAGGAAAAGCTGTAGGCAGGCAGAAGCATTTTGCAAGCCAGGCTTGCTTGTTGGATCACTCTGCTCAGGCTGCGCTGTAAGTTTTAGCGTGTAGTTGGGGCTTCTCTTGGACTTTCAAAAGAAAGTTTTGACCTTCCTGTAACTATTTACTTTTATATTTATTAAAACTGGGGGCAGGGGTGAGGGCCGTGATGCATGTCCTGATTCAGCTGACTTGATTTTACTGCAGGACGAACACGCTGTTGGAGAAGGTTGCCTCGGCTGTGGATCAGTCGGCATTCTACAGTGCTCTCTGGGGCAGCCTCCTCACAAGCCCTGCGGTTCGCTTGCCTGGCATCACCTATGTCCTCTCCCATCTGAACAGGAAGCTTTCCATGGAGGATCAACTCTACATAATCGGCAGCGACATTGAATTAATGGTAATGTTTTGTTGGAACAGGGAAAGCATTGATGTTACTTGTTTATGTAATAATATACTTCCGAGTGGGTTAGACCTAATTTAGACAAAAATAGATATCAAAGATAGATACTCTCTATCTCTGAACGTAGCATTTGAAGAGAGAAAAATGCATGTTTTTTTATTATAGCTCCAGTTAAACTGATGTTTTTGTGTGTGATAGAAGTGTTGCAAACCTTACTTAATATTTTCAGAATCTGGTTGATTATGTTTCCTCAATGATAGAACTTTTTATTTTCCTGTTTTATCTTGTTTCATTATTCACAATTTTAAAATAACTTTATTTTGTACATACCACTATTTATAAACAACTCTTCTTATTTTGTGTTTTGTTATATCTACCTTCTTAGAATAATACAGTAAATAACTATTTACTACCGTTGTTTCAGGTGGAAGCAGTAAGCACGTCAGTGCAAGACACCAGTGTTTTAGTACAGAGGAGCACGTTGGACCTTATCCTTTTTTGTTTTCCTTTCCATATGAGCCAGGTAGGTGATGAACAAGAGAGGTGAATTGGCAAACTCCTAAATGTACTCCACTTTCTAACTTGATAGCAGTATTTAGTTAGTCTTTGTTAATGATTTTCTCCAAGTTTGAGCAAGAATCATATGTAAGAGTTTCCCTGATAGATTTGACTGTTCTCCTGTCATGGTCTCTGCTCTTCTGCTTTTTAATTTCATGTGTTAACTTTGAAGTTAACTTTCAGTTGCGTATATGCAAACCCAAAAGCCTGTGCTTTTAATTTGCTCTAATTTGATGAGAAAACAAATTATCTGTTCATGTGCAAGTTTCCAATTCACAAAAGCAGCAGAAATTAATCCTCTTAGCATAACTGATTCAGAACACTAGAGAATTTAAAATTATTACTGGCTTTGGGTGAGTAGTTAGCCCTAGCATAGCGGGAGATAGACCTGTCAACCTCTAGCTAATTATTTTGGATTGCATTTATTGTTAGTCACTTTCTGTTTTCAAATGGTCCATTATTTATTTTACTCTTGGAGGAAAAGTTCTGCAGGGTTGATTCTCACCTGGTTAGAAATTATAGAAAACCTGCACTTTCCTGTGAAAAGAGCTGTGTTCTTCCTTGTGGAAGTGGTTTGTTCACATTTATCATGTACTAAAGGAATCTTTGGAATGTTTGTTTAGGTGCTAGAATGGAGAAATTATCAGTATGGTATTTTTTAATATTAAAACTTGCACAAACAATTATAGTAGGAAGAGATTGAAAGTTATTTCAAGTTCTCAGTGATTTTTATATTTTTTTACACTGGATTTTAGTTGAATTTGGTTGCAAGGCTGAAATGTCTTTTAACAAAAATGAACTGATAATGGAGTCAAGGATTTTTGCTGTTCGTAAAGGGTCCGTACTGTTACAAAGTGTCCATTCCAAATAATAATCATATTTTGGTTTCCTAATAGCTAGATTATGTTTTCTTGTGCTGTTCTGAGTTCAGAAATGTCAGAAAGTGAAATTAACTATGATTTAGTGCATATTAAGCATCTAGCATAGAAAAAGTTCTAGTTTTCTTAGTTAAATTGAATCCTTTTTCTGGCTTCTGCAGGCAACACGTCCAGACATGATCAGAATTTTGTCAGCTGCCCTTCATGTCGTACTGCGCAGGGATATGTCACTCAACCGAAGACTTTATGCGTGGCTTCTAGGTAGGTTTGCATTTCATCTCATTCTTCACTAAAAGTAGAGGAAGAATTGTATGTTCATTAGCAGTATTTTGTCATATTGCGGAGAAAGATTCTTGGAAAAATGGAATACTTTGTTTGTCTCATAAGGAAGAAGGCAGTATCTCTCTCCACAGATATAAAAGATGATGTCATGCTGGAACTCTTTCCTGTTGTATAAATTATTGGTATATCTTCCTAGAGGAGCAGCTGTGGGCCGCATTCAAGTGTAGAGCCTGGTACACTAGGCCTGTGTAAATAGATACTGAAAGGCACTTTTGTCTCCCTAAAAACATAAAATAAAAAAAAGCAGAACAGGTATTATAGGGAGTAGATAGCGGGAACACAACAGCGTGGAAGGGATGAAAATAAAAGAATGTTGAAAATGTTGATATTACATTGATGGAGGCTTCAGTATGCAAAATTTAAGCTTTATTAAATAATTGCATGGCTGAGTTAAATTACCAATCACTTATGTTCTCCATGCAATTAGAACATTATTTCAATGCCATTCTTGGGTAAAAATTGATCAATTACAGGACACACACTTTTGCTTCTACAAAATGGCAGAATATCAATGCAATCACATTTAAACTTTTTTTTTTATGAAACCAGCGTGTAATCAGAAGAAAGTAGCTGAGAATAGTAGCTACTTAGAAGACACTAACTATTCAAGGAATGTTCAGGAAACTAGAACTTAGAAAATTTTAGAAAACTTTTACTCATATTCAGCCTTGTAATTTTAAGGAAATGAAGCCTGTGGTCACATGAAACTGACCTGTTACTCTTTAAAACCACTTTCATCCCAGTTTGAGAGAAGTCAGGATCTCTGGCATGGAAGTTCATAAGACCATCAAAGAAACTGGAGGTGGAATTGATGAGGCCGCACCTTGAGTATTGTGTTCAGTTTTGGTCACCTCGGTATAGGAGAGATATCGAGGTGTTGGAGCGAGTGCAGAGGAGGGCAACAAAGCTGGTGAAGGGCCTGGAGAACAGACCTTATGAGGAGCGACTGAGGGAGCTGGGTCTGTTCAGTTTGACAAAGAGGAGGCTGAGGGGGGATCTCATCATGCTCTACAATTACTTGAAAGGACATTGTAGAGAGGTTGGTGCTGGTCTCTTCTCACAGATAATTAGGGACAGAACCAGGGAGAATGATTGCAAGTTGCAACAGGGCAAGTTTAGGCTGAACATTGGGAAGAAATTCTTCATAGAACGAGTGGTCAGAAACTGGAACAGACTGTGGTCAGACACTCGAATAGACTGCCTAGGGTGGTGGGTGAGTCGCCATCCCTGGATGTGTTCAAGTGTCATTTAGATGTGGTGTTGGGTGATATGGTTTAGGGGTGACCTTGTAGTGTAGGGTCAATGATTGGACTTGATGATCCCAAGGGTCTTTTCCAACCTGAATTGTTCTATGATCCTATGAACATAAAGTGGTTTCTCTACTTGAGGGGAAGAGTGTTTTACAGTCTGCTGTAACCTTTTTTGTTGGACTTCCCAGCTCTCCAGCAGGCACAGATGTCCTTCGCAGGCTATGCAGGACCCTTCCTGGTAGCTCTTGCCTCCTTCCCAGCTGAACGTTAAGATATCAGAGGCAGGCAGCCTGTGGGTGGCTGGGGAGCAAGGAAGTAAGTAGTCAAGGGACATGAGAGAGAAGTGAAGTTAGGAAGGGAGGGACGAAGTGAGCAACAGTGTTTTGCATGAGAGGATTGGTTTTGTTGCTATTTTTGCTGCTGTAGAAGTTGCAGGGATTTAGAAGACAAATACGAAAAAAAACCTCAGCTTCTTTAGTTAATCATTTCTCAAGACACTGACTTGCAAATTATTCATCTGCTAAATAGACAGTGAAATGCACTGTCATACTCCATACTCACATTTTCTAATTTAGGGAAAAACTAATTTCCGGATAAAACACTGCACTAATGTTTCATCTAAATCTGGTGGATTGAATATCATAGAATCACAGAACGTTAGGGGCTGGAAGGGACCTCTAGAGATGATCTAGTCCAACCCCCTGCCAGAGCAGATCCCCTAGGGCAGCCACACAGGAACGCGTCCAGGTGGGTTTAAAAGTCTCCAGAGAAGGAGACTCCACAACCTCTCTGGGCAGCCTGTGCCAGTGCTCTGTCACCCTCACAGTAAAGAAGTTTCTCCTCATGTTGAGGTGGAACTTCCTATGTTCTAACGTAAACCCATTATTTCTTGTTCTGTTGTTGGGCACCACTGAAAAGAGATCGTCCCCCTCCTCTTGACACGCACCCCTCAGATATTTATATATGTTAATAGGATCCCCTCTCAGCCGTCTCCTTTCAAGCCTAAACTGCTCCAATTCTCTCAATCCATCTTTATAGGAGATATGTTCAAGTCCCTTAATTATGTTTTTTTGCTGTCATTGAAAAAGATTTTTTATATGTTTAAAACATCATTCTACTTTTTCAGTTATGGAGACACCTTCTAAAGCTATTTCATGAGCCCTAGTCTCCAGTGAAAGATAATATGACTTCAGAAGATAGTTTTACAGTGACAGTTCCTGGTTCTGTTTTCTGAACACCTAGTGCCTCCATTTGCTATGTATCTGGACGAACCTTTTGGCAGTATTAGGGGTTTTTTTTGCTTCTTTTTCTCCTGACACTATTCTGCTTTTGTATTATGATGTTCTACTACTAATAACAAACATTGGAGGAGTGGGATCAGTTATGCTGGAAGACTCTGAATTCAGATGTTCTGATTATTTAATTCTGGGGTTAGCTATGCCTTTCTGTTGTTCTATAGCTGGGAGTGGTCTATTAATGTTCTCTAGGCATAAAAATCACATCTCTCTAAATCCAGGTTAGCTTAACCATTGTTAACAGTGGTTATTTTAAGTTGTTGCTAAAGGACATGCATCTTCTCAGGCTTTCCTTCTATTTTTGTCACTTCAGGACAAAGACTGTGGAAAATGCTTCTGTGGAACAGGGTGATATCCTTATCAACTCCTTGATTATTTTAATTTTTTTTTCCTTTAAACCTGTTTTATGTAGAATGAAAAATTTGCTTGGTAAAAGAAAAGATGCAAACTTAGAACGCAAAGGCCTATCTTCTTCATGTAATTTTGAATAATGGAATTGATTTAGTGTAATATGACTGATATTCTCTCTAAGTGCCTTAGTCATGTCAGTGTGCTTTGGTGATCATCTCTTTATTTAAAATATTGAATTTTGTGTTCTCATGGTAATATTAATACTGAAATATTTTTGTAGGACAGGTGTTTTTGAAGGTACTCTAGGACTATGTGGTTTGTGCAGTGTTTGTGAACATTTGGTTCTGTTGTACACGTAATCTGGTCGATAACGTTGCATAAAACTTAAGTTTGCAATTTGTGTGCAAACTGCTTGCGTTGTTTGCATTGCTTAGTTCCCTGTACTAAACTCTCTAAAATCATCTTTCTTTTGCCAACATTACGTGGACTCCATGTTGGTAAGTTGTCAGTGCTAGTGTTTGTCTTCCAGTTCAAAGAAATTGGCAAAATATTCTGCTAAGAGACAAATGCTTATTTGCCTTGTCTTTTGTTTGCTTCTAGGTTTGGATAACCACGGTGCCCATCTAGGACCCAGAAGTACAAGGCACAGCAATCCCGACGAGCATGCCACTTACTACTTCAACACCTTCTCTAAGGACATGTTAGTTCAGGTAGCTCTGCAATGTTATATTATGGAATTTATCTTCATAAATATATGCTGATCAAAGTTACTGTGTCTTTATTTTTTGATTTGCCATTTCAATGTGACCATATAATTTCTGTATTTTTATGGTAGTTTGTCCTACTCTTCTAAAACCTTCTTAGTGGAAAAATGAAGATACGGGAAAATGTGGGTTTTTAGAATAACAATATGATCAAGAAAAAGATTTCTCTCTCTCTCTCTCTCTCTCTCTCCACTTCCACAATGCAGGTAGCATGAAGGGAAGATGCTTGATTATAAGCCGAGCACACTGAAGTATTTTCTTTTGTAAAATGGAACTGGAGAATTCTCTTCTGTAGATATGGAAATTCCTCTGTGTCTTAGGATTTGGGAAAATTTAATCAGACGGTACTCAGAGGGTCTGAGTAAGGAGGGTCCTCCTGCCCTTTAGGCAAGGGAAATGTCTTTGCTGCTGTCCATTGGCAATCAGGAGTAGTTGAGCAAATTGGCAGTTGTGTTATTTGACCCCTGAAGCCTTGTTAAGTGAGCTGAGATCGCCTCGCCTCAAGAACTGTGCTCCTTCCCTCACTGTGATTAAAATATAGATATCTTTCAAGATGCTATGAGTCTGATCTTGAAATCAGGAAGACCGTTTTGTCATTAAGGTGCTATATATGGTAATGTGGGTGGGGATACTGGTATTAGCAACTGACACAGGAACATTTAACTCCTCACAACTTGAGGCTGATATGCAGCACAGAGCTAGCCCTTCTGGTTGTATCTTAACGTAATGAGATCTCCTGTTCTACTGATGTGGAAGAGACCCCAGAATTCCAGTGAAGCAAGGACCTCGTTGTCACTCTCTCACTCTTGTCACGCTTCTGCCTCCCGTGGCACATGATTCAGAAGTTATCCAAATGTAAAGGCCTGAATAAGATACAGTTTTGTGTGTACCTTCTGTACAAAAGGTGGTGAGCTTTTAGCAACAGGTAGGAATTTGTTGATAGGTTGTATTCTTGCTTTCAAATCCATCCATCTTTCTAGCTTAATCAGTGTCATTAAGGCTTTTCTGTCTGAGAAGACTAACAACAGTGTGGAGTTGATACAGTCCATTTGATTATTATTTTTTTCTTTATTTTTGTTTTGATAGCAGGGACTACAGCTACAGTAGAATAGAGAGTAGCCATTTTTTATAATGGGTATGATTCACTTGTTTTGTGCTTTACAAACAATAAAATCAGTGGCTTGCTCTACATAATACAAAATGCATATGCCTTCTAAAACTGTGGCTGTCTTTTGAAAGACTTCAGAAGCATTGCTCCTTTCTGCCTTCTTCCCTAGCAGTCTCTTTGTGTGTTCTTTTAACCGGTCCACCCCCATCTTATTCATTGCTACAATGTCATGAAAATTCTGACCTTCTAAAGGCATATTCAAGTACAGAAGATGTTTCTTTCAGTGTACTGGCTGATAATACTTGGTTTATAACAGATAGCAAGGTCGAACGTGTTTTCCTGTTTCTCCTTCCCACCTCCCTTCTCTTCTTTGTCCTTCTCTTTTAGAATTTGTAAAAGAAACAAACTAGTTTTGACTTGGACAGTGAAGCCAGCTACAGACAGAAAATGAAGCAAAATCTGTGGCGGTTTCATTGGGCTTTTTTAATTCTGCTGCTTGTTCCTTAAACTGCTTCAGTCTAGAAACACAGTTTTCCCATTTGTTTTGAAGTTGTCATTGCTAGCTAGTCAAGTCAGTCAAGAGTTTTCGGCCACACAAGTGGGTGTATCCCAGAAGGACAGATTATCCCAGAAGAACAGATTGTTGTTTATTAAGCCTTTAATATCTATGTGCCTTACTTTCTCAGTCAATTTCTTCATCGCTTTTCATGTCTTCTGTTTTATTCTTATGAAATTTTGAGTTGGTATTGTTTTGCTAATTGGCCTGGGGAGGTGGGGGTGCTGCAGAAAAGGGCAGAGGCACCCACAGAAGGGTCGGCTTTTACTGTCTGTTTCAGAGCATTACAAGAATAAGGCAATGCAAGCTTGTTATACCCTAGTTTTAAGCAGCAAGGAGAACAGGATAATGCATCTAATCATTGCTATATAGGGTTAGTGATAGTTATTAAAAAAGATCCATCACCAATCACCCTGATACCATCATCCAGATCCACAGTTGCTGGGGAACCTCTGTTGCAGTGAGGATTCTGGAGAACCGTCCTGGTGATTGGGAAGCCCTACGCAGCGCGTCCGCTCGTGGATGAGGTCTCCAAAGTCGCTGCAAGAGGGTCCAGCTTTTATACTACTAAATAAACAACCTCACATAACTTCAAATGTGGGAGTATCTGGTGTTGTCTACTCTGCTGGATTCCTCCCACAGCTTCGCCAGGGCTAAAGGAAGAATACAAGGCTCCCTATCTATTTCGGTCCTTAATCACATATTTCTCACCAAAGCCAGGCCTCTGGTCTCACGATCTTGTACCATGCTTCTAACAAAGCAAGAGGCAGCTAGTTTCCCAGCCTTGCACCTGGCCTTTAGATAAAGAAAGAGTGCCGTGCTAGTTCCTGCTGCACATTTAGTGTTACAGCAAAGCTTTTACAGATTGGCATCGGAATATATATATATATATATACACGCTAGGATAGGTTATCAGTGCATTACATGTGTGATTAATTCTGTATGGTGTGAGGTTGTGAGGTTCATCTATAGGTCAACTTCAGTTCAGGGCCCACGATTCAGGCCCTAGTGCTTCAGGTACCCATTTTGTAATATTTTGTTTAGACTTCAAATAAATAAAAGTTACCAAGTTCTATTGACACAGGCAAAGTTGAGAGAATACTTCAGCACGGAAAGAATGAGCTACAGTGAGATGAAATAGTGGTCTCCACTACTGGCAACTTTCCTCTTTATATGCAGCTTTCATTGCATCTTTCTTTCAGAAACTGTTTTCTGGTTTTGGTTTTTGTTTTCCTGATACAATTTTGCTCTTTGTAGGCAATGATTGGTATATTACAAGTTAATGGGCATGGAGAAGAAAGCACATTAATGCAAGACTTGAAGCCTTTTCGAATTCTGATCAGTTTGCTGGATAAGCCCGAACTAGGTAATTTTTGTAGTTCTTCACATTACTTCTAGTTTTTGACTTGTTTTACATGGTTTACTTGGAGAATTTTTCTCTCTTGTTGGTCAAATTGAAAAAGCTATATTCTTAGTACTTGTGGATTAGCTAGATTTCTTAGATCTTCCAAGCTAATAGTGTATTCATTAGATTTACATTTTACCAAATGCAATTTCTTCTACTTTCAACACAGGAAATTGTAAGTGAAAGTTGCAGAGAGAACTGACTGCATGTTGGAAGAAATACATTTTGGGTCTTCTCTATTTCTTCAGTCAAACAGTAGCTTTTACCATTTTAAATCTCAGCTGTTAGTTTTGGTGAGAGATATTAACAAGAAAACGTATTTTTTTTCAGAATTTATCCAGAAGAATCAAGTATTTTTTGTTGGTTTTGGGGGTGGTTTGTTTGGGGATTTTTTGTTGTTTTTTGTTTTAGGTTCTTTTTTTCAAATTTCCTTTCCCATCTTTAAACATTCTTTTTGGCAGGTGAGTGCAGAGAACTGTGGGACACAAGTAGATGAGACGAAAGTATCTGCAGCAATTAAATGTCAGATACTTTGCTTTCTTCTTTGGAATAACAGTTTTGGAGGTGACTGAAAAAAAATCAAAAGTAAATTTTGAAGTCTATCCTACGATGTAGGGGCAGGATAAAAAAAGCATAAAAATACAACAATTAAAGAACACAACTTGAAAGAAAGTGGTTAAGACAGATCGCAAAGAACAAAATATCTGCCAAGAATTTGTCATCTTTCTGGTAACTTGTGATTTCTGGGGGTCAGTTTAAATTTTCAAAGGCAATGTGCACAGTAAGATTTCATGAAGTAAGCAGAGCTATAAGGATTCTTTTGACCAACTGAGATGAAAGAATCTAATAGGATTTCTGCCTAACTCAGCACACTCTCACTGAAGGCAGCTCAGTGAGGCTAGGAGAAAGCATGAAAAGGCAAAGGATGTTTCAAGGAGAATCGCTTCATGAACTCCTTTCAGAATAAGTTTGGGTTTTTTCCTTCAAACTTGTGATTTAGTTCTAATCTGGAGGAGGCGCTGTTTCAAAAAGTATCCTGCAGATTGTATCTGGAATTAAATAAAACCTGCCTCAAATTAAATGAGGGAAGATATTTGGAGGATTTTACTTCAGATTTGTATTTAAGTATATTTTCCATACAACAGCATGAGCTGGCTTATTTGGTGGGTATTTGAAACCGTTTGGTTGAAAGCTGCCTTTGATGAGGAATCCATCTGGCCACATTTACATGTTAGTGAGCTGAGCTAATAATCCCTCAAAGAGGGTGTATTGGCCAGCACATGGGCTGTACTGACGTGAGCGCCTGGCTTCTGAACGGGGTCTGCTTCTATCCAGCCATCACTGCGCACACGTTGTATGGGAGAAGAACTCGATCGTTCTCTGTGTGCTCCCAGGCATTACAATTGCTGGTCTATTTCTGGAATGCAAAAAAAAAAAACTAACCAAAAAACTTCAGAAATTGAAGTAGTTTGTAAAGTTCAACACAGGGCGTTCTATGGTTTCAGCGGCCGAAGCTAGCTCATGATTTGGGATATTGCTGGTGTATTTCTGGAATGCAAAAAAAAAAACAAACCAAAAAACTTCAGAAATTGAAGTAGTTTGTAAAGTTCAACACAGGGCGTTCTATGGTTTCAGCGGCCGAAGCTAGCTCATGATTTGGGATTTTCAGATGCGGACTGTTACCGATGCTACAATGTGTAAGACTGTGATTGCTGATATTTCTTCCTAGGCCCTGCCATCCTCGAGCACGTATTGATTGAAGTGTTTCGAACATTATATACACAGTGCAAAGCAGAACTGGAGCTTCAGGCAGAACCTTCTTTCAACAAAGATCACACACAGCTAAGCAGGTGAATAATATATATAATGTATTTCATATTAAATAATCTGTATTTTTGTTGCTGACACCATGACTGTGGAGCCTGTGGGACTGTGACCTGGTTTCTTCATGGTACAGAATCCATTGGCATTAATTGCAACTTCTTTGTTCAGTGCAAAAGTCTGAAAGGCTATATAGCATTATTATTATTACTACTATTACTATTATTATCTTAATTTTTAGCATACATTTTGGTCTTTATGTGTGACAAAAGTGCTTGCTTGATACAGCTGGAAGTCAATGTGTCAATGATCTGGATTAGTTGTGTCATTCCTTGTGTCTGTGTTGCTCACAAAAGTAAAAACGGTGGACTGATGAGCTTTATTGCAGAGTAAGAATGAAGAGTGCTACAAGACAGAGAGGGGGATAAAAAGATTTCAAGATTTGATGAGTTGAGTATTTTAAAAGGTGGAGAGAAGAGGGAAGTTTGTAGCTGGGGCGAGGGGGCGGAAACAGTTGCAGGAATGATCATGGGAAAGCAAATCTATTAAAAATGTGGTTAGAAAGCAAACACCAAAGAAAAAATAGAGAAGAAGCCTCTCAACTGTAAAAATATACTGAGCCCTAAAACAATAACCACTGTAGGGATGAGGGAAGGATAATTTATCAGTGTGAACTGGCAGTGGGTAAACTCACTTTGATGATGTAGTTAGGTAATTCAGAAATGAAGTGTAAAAGTATAAAATGTTCCTTTTCTTTTCTTTCAGCAAACTGAGAGAAAACAAGAAAACAGCAGAATTGATTAAAACTGCCAATCTTCTCTTTAATTCCTTTGACCCTTATTATATGTGGGATTACATTGCTCGTTGGTTTGAAGAATGTTGTAGGTAGGTTATAATACTTGATTTCTGTATGTGTAAAGTTGAAGTTGACTTTTCTTTTAGAACCTTCATTTTTTCTACAAAGAAGTTAGTCTAATGTGACCATTTAGTCTGTAAGTGTTTTTCTTCTCCATCCCTTCTAATTTTGATCCCTTGGCCAGTGTAATTCAGACGTGATTGGTGGTCTCAGCAGTGTGAGTTCTCACAAAGTCAGTGTCTGGGTAAAACCAAGAGACAGAATTAACACCTCAGCTGAAGGGAAGACTCCCGAGTGACCTCAGCATCAGGCTGCCTTGTCCTGTCTGCCCAGGACAGGATTACTCACTGAGTGTGTAGCAAGCCTGTCAGCTTGACCAAGAGTGACTTGTAGGATGTGTTATCTTTTGCCCTGCTCTTTGAGGGAAGAAAAGGTGTGGAGGTACTGGACGTGGCAAGGAGGAAACATAATAAACAAGGAAGAGCTGAAAATATTCAAGGCTGAGAGGGGAGACCAAGAGACCACAGGTATAGCAGTGATACTTGATGAAGGGAATTCAAATAAAATTTCTGGAATTTTCTTTTTGTTGTTTATGGAATAGCTTAATAATTTATTAAGATATTTGGACGCTAAATTTTCTATGGGCCAACAGTGTGCTGTCATAAGGAAACTCTGTCTTGGACTATGTTAGGGGGAGCGTGGTCACCATGTGGAAGTTATTTTTCCTTTCACTTAGTTTTTCTAAGGTGACATGTGGAATGTTGTGTCCAGCTTTGGGCACTGTGCTTGAGGAGGAGTATTGAGAAACTGAAGAGGCTCTAGTAGGGGACTGCTAAGATGATCAGTCATAGGACACTGCATGGGAGGTTGAGATAGGTGGATTTGGTTTTGCCTGGCAAAGAGAGTGCTCGAGCAACAGCCTATGACTTCCTGAAGGGCATTTACAAAGTTGATACAGCTTTGCTTCTGCTAGTGGCTGATGGTAAAACAAGGGACAGCAACAGTAAGTGTTGGCTCAGAGGTTCAAGTTGGACTTTTGGAAAAGCTTTGCTGGGAACATAGCGCAGTGGAACGGGTTGCCCAGGAAGGCTGTGGAGCTTCCTTGGGAGATTTCCAGGACTCTGCTAGACTGTGAGTGAATTTGTCTAGTGGCATGAGCAGTCCTGCTGAGCATGAGAGGTTGGAAATAGATGAAATCCCTTCCAACATGCGTGTGAGTTAGTTTTTGGTATTGGACTGAATTGCTCAAAGAAAGCAATCTACAAACAACTAGCAAGCAGGTGAGAATTTCTGTACCTATAAGTAGGTGTTACTGTAAGCATGGATGCCAGATTGCCTTATTAATAAATAAACAGAATCTGGCGAATGTTTTTTATTTTCTTTTTCTACATGAGCTGCTGTGTTATGTAAGTTATTGTCTCCCTGTTTAAAAAGATACACCATTAAGTGAAAACATAACCAGTTGATTTTAAACTATGAATTTTTAAGTTATATTTATATCAACTGATATGATTCCTAAATCACAGTTACTAAAGCAATTTAGGTATCCCTCTGAATTTGTCTTAGGCTTTTTCTTACGATTTTCCTCCACTAAAAATTAAAATTAGGATTTCTTATGTCTAGTGTTTTCTCTCATCCAAGTATTTTTCACTGCTATTGAGATTTCTCCCAAAGCTATTTGTGATGTGGGACTCAGTAAATTGATTCCAAATCATCCTTTATGGAATATTACAGCTGAACAGATCCGTGAGTAATTTATGAAATGGTAGATCTTTCTGGAGCAAAGGAAGTGTAAAAAAAAAATTGTGATATGACTTACACAGAGGGACCATTTCACTGAACTGTAAAACAGACTGCTAGTTTTATAAAGAGAATTACCTGTTAGAGAGATACATTAACCCAGTGGAGGTGTGTGTTGAGTGCTACTTTTCAAATCTAGGTTACTGACAGAATGCAATTTAAATATAGTTTTTATAATCTTTTGATAAATACTTACTGTCACTGTTTTAGACTTACTTTCTGTAATGCTTCTATTATTTCCAGCAAATCCCTTTTTTTAAGTCCTGGCATATGTGTTCGTGAACTTTTACAAAAAAAGAGGAACTAACTGTTGTTGAAAATGTGACGCTGCCTTCACCACCAACCCCAGTGGAACACATGAATTGGAGAAATAAAATATTATTCCTTTGTTTGTATCATTTGCTTATAATATTGTCAGATGGCACCATAATTTCACTGGGAATTTGTGTTCCGTCTTATTTAGCAATAAAACTAATAAGATTATTAATTCTTATCAATAGTAAAACAATGCAGTCAGCCAAAGTTGAAGTGGACATTTAGAAGAGCTTGTTTTGTTTTCTTCTTGCACAGATTTAAAGCTTTGTGGGCCTTTTATTTCACTGTTGCTTGTCTATATCGCAAGTACTTAGTGCCTTGAGTTTGCATCTCTTCAAAATTGCTGTGCTTACAGTAACACTATCCCTTAATTCTATTATTGGAGCCTAGGCTCACACTAGTAAATATCGCTGTATATGGTAGAGTAACAAATGCAATTTCCTGTAGTCTGAATTTCCTTATTTTATGAATGAAGACTGGTTTACAGTGAAAGGCTGGTTGCTGCTTTTTCTGAAAGCATGCAATGGGTCCAAATGAATTACTTAACAGCAGAATGAGAGATTGCATGCTTGTTTATAGGGATTATCCCTAATGTTTACAGTTTTTCGTTAAAGTTATAGAAACATGGTCAATGTAAAGGGGAGGGGAAAAAAGTCGTGAAACGCTATTTGAATTTTGCAGGAGGACATTACATGCCAGACTTCAGACTGGGCCTGGAGATGGCAGTGAGCAATCTGAGTTACCCCTGAGAAATTTCTGCTTGTTAGTGGATTTTTTGTTGGATATAGTTTCTTTGGTAAGAATTGCTTTGTTTGTTGCTAATACTGGGATCCTGTATATTTATAGTTAGCAGAAATACTATATCTGCTTTGTTAATTGTTTTTCCTAAAAATATATTGTCAATAAAATGGTGGAAATTTAGATTTCATTATACGATTTTTGATAGATGACTTGGATATTACCAAAGTGGTTTTTCTGATGCTTATACCTGAAAATTTTATCTGTCCTTGATTTCTTTTCTCTAAAACTACACTGTATTCATTACAATTATAGTATTTTGTAGTTTGATATGTTAGTTTAGATGTACAACTTTCTTTTAAGGCTCTCTTAAATGTCATGATAAGATGATAACGTCAAAAGAAGTGTGGCTCGCAGGCTGAGGGAGGTGATTCTCCCCCTCTGCTCTTATGAGACTCCACCTGCAGTAATGTGTTCAGCTCTGGGGCCCCCAACATAATAAGGTTGTGGACCTGCCTGAGTGGGTCCAGAGGAGGACCACAGAGATGATCAGGGGGCTGGAGCACCTGCCCTACAAGGACAGGCTGAGGGAGTTGGGGCTTTTCAGCCTGGAAAAGAGAAGGCTCTGGGGAGACCTTGTAGTGGCCTTCCAGTACCTGAAGGGGGCTACAGGAAAGCTGCGGAGGGACTTTTTACCAGGGCAGTAAGGTGTAGGACGAGGGGTAACGGCTTTAAACTGCAGGAGTGTAGATTTAGGTTAGATAGTAGAAAGACATTCTTCACTGTGAAGGTGGTGAGGCACTGGAACAGGTTGCCCAGGAAAATTGTGGCTACCCCCTCCCTGGAAGTGTTTAAGGCCAGGCTGGATGGGGCTTTGAGCAACCTGGTCTGGTGGGAGGTGTCCCTGCCTGTGGCAAGGAGATTGGAATTCAGTGATCTTTAAAGTTCCTTTTCAACCCAGACTTCTCTATGATTCTATGATTCCATGATATGTGTCTTCTTTTTCTGTTGGCATTGCTTAATGTAGTAAAGACTGTTGAAACTGTTTTTCCTATACCTGTCTTTCATCAATTCTTTGCTTTCTTATTTCAAAGCCTACTAGAAGTATGAGAGTGCTGTGTCAGGTATGGCAATCAGCCTGTTTTCCCTTTTGTTCTTGTTTATTTAATTCTCAAACTTTTATATTTATGTTATTTAAAATAATAGTAGTAGCATTCTTTAGCCCTATTGTTTTGTAATATGTTTGATGTGTAATGAACAAGATATTAAAATTCTGAAAAAGAGCTAAATAGATTTATTTTTGTTGGGTACCCAACTGTAAAGTTAAATTCGTACATTCTTTTTTGAAGTAAAGCATGTGTTTCTTATTCTTGGATATTAAGCTATTAATTTCCTTTTTCTGTGTTCCACATGTTTAGAACACAGTTAAGCTGCTACAGAAGATAACTCTAAGAGCGGAATTTAGTCTTGCAGTTAATGAGTTTTGCTTTTACTTTGTCAGGAGACTCACATTGAAATACAGACGGAACACTTGCCTCAACTGTTGCTGAGGATGATTTCTGCATTGACAAGTCATCTTCAGACTTTGCACTTGTCTGAGCTTACTGACTCTCTCAGACTCTGCTCAAAGATCCTTAGTAAGGTTCAACCTCCATTGCTGTCTGCTGGGACAGATGGTATCCTGCAGCTTCCCACTGGACACAGCAGCTCCATCAAAGAATGGGAAACTAAAAAGGTAACTGATGGTGTTTTTCAGCACCTTGGAAAAATACTTTCTGTGAGGAAAGGAAAAATGGGCTTTCTAGTTCTGTACAGGTTAGTTTTTATTAGAATTAGTTTAATGTACATGTGAAACATGGATCATCAAAAGAAATTGTAATTGCGCACTTCATTGTGGTAAAAGGTTCTTAAGGGTTTTTATCTAGATTTGATATTGTGCATGTATAAATCACTACAGAATCAGGGCCTAGGAATGAACTAATCAGCTAAGGTTTGAAGTTGTAGTGCATTTCTGGAGTCTGATCATTTAGAATAACTGGGCACAAAAGAATTGTCCGTTTTGTTTACATGTGAGGCACATGTAAATTTTCCTCTCACTCAATTCATGTGCATCAGATTAATATCCATCAGTTAGTCTACTGTCACTGGTAAGTTGTTACACTCATTTAATAAATAAATAGAAGAAACAAACCAGCTGACAGCTCTTTCTTTTTCAACGTTCTTTAGTTTGGCCTGTGCAACCATGGCTCTTTAAGATGTGTTAAGTGACATGCTCTGAAGTCCTTGTTCTCTAACTGAAGAAACTAGAGGAACATCATAGAATAATTTGAGTTGGAAGTGACAGTTGCAGGTCACTGCTCAAAGCAGGGCTGATTTCGAAGCTGGATTCTACAGTAAAGTTAGGTCAGGTCACTCAGCATCATATCCAGCTTAGTTTTGATTATCTCCAAGGATGAAGATTCCACAACTTCCGTGTACAGCTTGTTTCTTTGCACTGTGGTGTTTAATCAGAATGTCCACTGTTGCAGCTTGTGTTCATTGCCTTCTGTTCTTTCGCTGTAGATTTCAGAGCGTGCCTCCATCTTTTCAGCTACTTAATGGGAAGTCATAGACAGCAATAAAGACACCTTCTCCCTCTCCGCAGCTCTTAGGGTTCTTTTTCTCAAGACTGAGCAAATCCAACTTCCTGAGCTTTCCTTCTATGTGAGGTGCTCCTGTGGTGGCCCTCTACTGGACTTACAATGAGTTCAAACTTGGTCACAGTGTTCCAGATGTGGTCTTAAAACTACTGAGCAGAGGGAACTAATCACTGCCCTGGACTTGCTGGCTATGCTTTTGCTAATATGGTCCACTGCTGAATCGTGTTCACCTTGTCCATCAGGACTATATCATTCTTTTTGCAGGATCCTTATTCTTCCTAGCCAACAGATATCTGTCTGATTTTGTTCTTTTTCTTTTTTCTTTATTATTTTTTTAAGTGAAGTAGGTTTTGATTGAATGGTTTTGCCCTTTGAACCTTCAACAGCCTTTTTCTTTCAATTACAGTGAAGTCATATGTGGCCGTGGCTTTGTTAACAGAGTGAAATTAATTACCATGCTTCTGATCTCTTTGGTGTTGTTTTTTATAAGGCAGGGTCACGCTTTACATTTTTCCAAACTTTTTAGTGCACATTAACACAAGAGACAGTGAAAGCTATCTCAAAGAAATTTTCATTCTTATTTCATCTCTGGTAAAGCAAGATGTAATTCGCCATATATAATGATGTCTCAAATTTCATTTATTCATTTGTTCATTTTTAGATTATGCTCAAATTCTGTGTGTAAGATGGCCAATGATCAGGATGTTAGGCAGCAAGATAACTTCTCAGCCTGTCACATCACAGGCAACATCTGCCATTGCCAGCAAGATAGCCAGATGGGAAGTACTTGGGTATGTTCTTTACCTGCATTTCCTGCCACTGATCCATGCATTTCTGTTCCCCCTCTACTGTGCTCTGGTAAGGCCCCACCTGGAGTACTGTATCCAGTTCTGGAGTCCACAGTACAAGAAGGACATGGATCTGCTGGAGCGGGTCTAGTGAAGGGCCACGAAGATGATTAGAGGGCTGGAGCACCTCTCCTATTTGGACAGGCTGAGGGAGCTGGAGTTATTCAGCCTGGAGGAGAGAAGGCTTTGGGGTGACCTAATAGTGGCCTTCCAGTGCATGAAAGGGGCCTACAGGAGAGCTGGAAAAGGGCTTTTTATGGGGGCCTGTAGTGATAGGACAAGGGGCAATGGCCTGAAACTGCAAGAGGGTAGATTTAGATCAGATATAAAGAAGAAATTCCTCACCATGAGATTGGTGAAGCACTAGAACAGATTGCCCAAGGAGGTTGTGACTGCCCCATCCCTGGAAGTGTCCAAGGCCAGGTTGGATGGGGCTTTGAGCAACCTGGTCTGGTGGGAGAGAGGTGTAGAGGGAGGGGGGAACTAGATGAGCTTCAAGGTCCCTTCCAACCTTAACCATTCTGTGATTCTATGATTCTATGTTTAAGTTGTTTTCCTGTTCACCTCCTGTTCTCACCAGGAAGCAGAGCCTGCACTACCAGTTGCCAACAAGAGTGTAGGGAGTTAGAGCAGCCCAGGAGGCCTCTGTGGGTCCTTTTTGAGTAGAAATCATTCATCACTTTTGTGTATATTCTGAACTGATGAGGAATTAAGGTGCACAGAGAGTTGTGAAGACCTGTTGTTGCTGGAGCAAACCTTCTTTCTTGTTTCTAGGAGATGATTTATTTTTCTTCTTAGCTGCAACTGGTTGGTTGCCTTAAATGAAAGTTTATTTTTTCTTTTGTAATTATGACTTTGTATTTGAAAGAAATCCCCGATTTCCAAATCTTGAGTTTTGTTTATAAAAAGATGCTAGTTAGTTAAAATTGTACCATATATACATCTATGAATTAAGATTCCATCCACATTTAATAGAGAGTTTCTTAAGTCAAAGTGTATAAATTTTATTGAGAAATTGAGCTGGCTTTATTAGTGTAAGTATGGAAGTGGAAAAAGATTTTTTTAGGTTATGAAAGATTTTATTCTTCATTTACAACGCCACAGTTCACTTTTTTTCTTCTGTCAGTAGTGTATCTAGACAGTTACTGGGTTAATTTAATATCTAATATGATTATTTACTTGTACAGTGGTAATTTCAGAAGTGTGATCAGAGAAGTGTATACTTTTTCCTTCTCTCAAATCTCCCCATTCTTCTTGGCTGGCATCTCCTTTTTGTCTCTTTTCCCTACAAGCATTTTTTACTCGTTTATGACTGCAGCCGTTTCTGACTAACACATAAATACCTTGTCTTTTTGTAGAACGTGCTAAAATGTAAAGTAGTAAAAGATTCTTGCTAGCTAAAGTGACCACAAGCAACATAGTTCCATGTCCTGCTTTCTGCTGGAAGTGAGGGCTTTTCTTTGATGTATGAATAATATGATTTATGATGCTGTATAAATTAATAATACCTGTGCCTATGCATTTCAGCATTCTGTAAAAAAATGGTCATGATTATGATATGAAGAAAATGTTAGAATTAATAATATTTAAATTAGTTTTGCTTGATAAACAATGCTTTTTTTTTGTTTATAGTTAGCTTGGTCCGGTAAGCTTATTGTAACACCAAAAATCATTTTACATAAAAAGTATTCATATAAGTAGATTTAAAATCGTAGAATAAAATAGTTGCTTTTGATGAAGCAAACAGATATTTTCTGAGTAGGACCCATTCTGAACAATCATTGAACTTTTATCTCACTCAGGTGCCGTCGGTTTCACTTGAAAATCCTAATGAAGTCTTCGAAGATGGTGAAAATCCTCCAAGCAGTCGATCGTCAGAAAGCGGCTTCACGGAGTTTGTGCAGTACCAGGCAGATACGACGGATGACATCGACCGAGCGCTGAACGAAGGTCCCAGTGCCGCTGGCATCCCTATAGTTGGTAGCACGTCCTCAGAGACTGAGACGGCATCGACTGTGGGATCCGAGGAAACCATTGTACAACCTCCTTCCGTAACGACACAGGGCACGGCACCTCGAAGTGGGAGAACGATCCAGAAGACTGCAATGCAGTGCTGTTTGGAGTACGTCCAGCAGTTTTTAACCAGATTTATCAACCTGTATATCATTCAGGGTTCCTTGCCTCAGCCCTTAGGGGCAGAGCTTCTGGCAGACCCCACTAGAGAGCAAGGACAGACCACAAAATGGGACAGAGAATCACATGGTGACGCTAAGGTGAAGAAAACAAACAAGAAAAAAACACCAAAAGAATACCTTCCTGCCTTTATTGCTGCTTGTCAGCTGTACCTTGAATGTTCGAGCTTTCCCGTTTACATTGCTGAAGGAAACCGTACTTCGGAATTACATCCTGGGAAGCCTGAAGTTGGTAAGCTGCACTCTTCTTGGCTTTTAAAATACTGATACTGTGTTTTCTTTTAAAATAAAATATAAAGTAAGAGTATTTGTGTTTTGTGTGTGTTACTGTTTGCTGTTCCACTCAGAAATATAAATTTCCTTCTGTATGAGTTGGTTTGCTTTTTGGAAACTGAACTATTTTCTCATAGGTTTTAAGAATATTGCTGGCAGGGGATTTGACACTAATTACTATTGGGGTGACAAACACAAATTATGCAAACTGAAGCCTGAGAGTAGAATCTAGGTTTTCAGATGTTCTTCTTTATTGTATGGATCCAGGATATGTCGTATGTCATATTTTGTAATAGCCACAGCTGACACCAAGTATGTTTGTAGCTTCATTTTTTCAATTTTGAACTGATATGCTACATTGACCATTTTGTGCAATACATGGAAATTATAAGCTTCTGTCCAATAAAAATTCTACCAGATAAGAAATTAATTCATTTTACTTTGCTCCTAATAAAGGAACTGTTCCTGCAAACAATTCTTCTAGCTACAGTTACATTAGAAAACAAAATAAAAATGGTGGCTTTTGGAAAATGTGAATGTGTTCACAGATAGATGAACACATTCCGATAAAGATACAGAAATGTGATTAAAGCGTTGACAGTTCCATATTACTGTAAACTGTGACATTTTAGGTGAACAACCCTGTTCACAGTTTGTAAAGTCTTCAGATTTTATTCCACTTCTGGTCTCTAACTTGAGAGGTGCTTCCTTAAAACGGTGTCATGATGGATACTCTGCAAATAATAGTTTGCAATAATTGCAATATTTTTGGCTACTGCCACGGTTGTCTTCTGTGATTTTAATTTTTCTAGGAAACTTTGTAGTTGCAGCTTATTGAGGGTTAGGGCTGAGCCAGCCGCTATGTGAATGACAGATTCTCTCTAACCCATCTCCCTCCCCAAATGGGAAGGGAAAGGGAATGAGGGAGCGAGGTAGATTGGAAAAAAAGCTAAAACAACTTTAATAAAACAATAATAGTACTGCCAAGGGAATCACTAATATACAAGTATATACAAAGCCAATGTTGAACCTGACTCCCCTGCTGACCCTTTACTAACTTGCAGCCCCTTTTTCTTCCCGGCACCCCCAGCGTGACACACAAGAGCCAGCAGTGGCCTTGGTCGCTACAGGAATAAGTGTCAGCAAGAGCCTTTCTGCATCCCAGTCCCAGGCAGTAACTGCAAACATCAGGTGTTATCACTGCCAGTAGCACACACTGTCTGCAAAAACATGCTGCGAACTTCAGAACGTGGAGCCTCCTAGAAGAGACTGAGCTGAAACGTAGAATCTCTGGGCAGAACTGGTTCTGTTTAGCCCAAAGCAGAACAGAGTTTTTTGTTTTTATCGACAACTTTCAAAATCTATTAAAGACTAAGCAGTGGGCTGGGCTTGGAGATGGATAGATAGGTTTTTTGGCTTTTGGAAACAAGCATGTTAGATTAACATGACGGCTTCTGTAGTCTTTAAGATGTGTTGTGTATCTCTTCATTATGCATCCAGGATCAGAGCATATCTTGGACTTCATGAGATCTGAACTTATCAAATATTAATGTTAGTTGAAGGCAACTTTGTTACAACTGTTTGTTAGTTAAGAGTATTGCAGTGCTATAACGAGGTGCTACCTTTAGTAAAAGATCTGGAGCAGGGTATCTGTGCCCTTACAGCATGACCCAGAAAATGTTTTTTTTATGTATTTATTTATTCTCGACACTAGTAGCCTACACGTGAGTGTTGTGGCAGAAGACTAAAAATATTTTTTAGATCGGCTGTTTGCTTATTACTTTTCTGTGGATATAGCATTTATAATTGTCGCTGCCTTGTAAACTCTGAAGCAGAAAGCCTGTAGAGCTTGAGAGGTGCGTGTCTTGTGCGAAGGCAGTGATTCTAGGAATCCTTTTCACTTTGTCAAGTTTGTGTTGCTCGTTCGTGATCTGAACCTTCCCGTTTGCAGTCTGAAGTCGAAGAATAAACATAGGTTGTAGGTGGTTGAAGTCGGTGGGAAGGGTTTTGTTTCAGACGTGAACACCTGTTGTACAGAATGGCCAGGCGGGCAGGAATAGTGCTGGCAACTGGGCTGCACAACTCTCCTGGGAGTTTTTCTACTGCAGAAGAGGCTGTTTTTATTGAATGGTTCCTAAATTTAAAACAAACTTTTGATGGGTTGCATTAGTGATGTGACCTAGTTGCCTTTAATTGTCAGTGAGAGTCATCAGTCTGTTTATTTGAAGTAGTCAAATTAATCTGATATTGATAGAACGTAATTGTGCTTAAATTTTGCTGTATGCTTAATTTCTCGGATAAATGCATGCTATTTTTAATCAAAGAAATTAAAATGGGAACTGAGTCAAGCTCAGAATACTGTTTATATCTGTAAACTCTAGAACATTATGTGGAATTGTTGGGTATATTTAGGCTTCAATTTGCATTGCAAAATTAGCTATTGTGGATATAAATTAGAAATTGTGTTTTCCTTCCCTTAGTGCTAAATAGATGCTGTATTTGTGCCCTTTAAATAACACTTTGCTTGTCTCTGATTCTAGAAGCATTTGTCTCTTTTAGGAATGTGATGAATAGAGTTCTGAAGTTTTAAGAAAAATTACTTTGTTTCCCCTAAAACAAGAGGATGCATTATTCACTTGGAGAGTTGACTTTGTGCTTCAGAAGAAGACACTTGCTTTGTCAGGCCAGTGTATGGTATTAAGTGAGGGGACGGTGAGAATAGGAAAACAACCACATACAGGGAAAGCAGAATGTGATCTAATAGGATGATTTTTCTGCCACCTAAAAGATCGATTTTCACAGATACTTCTGCTTTAAAAGTGTTGCCAGGACAATCTCTATATTTTTTTGTCAGTTTAAACTTAGTGTTTATGTGTAAATAATATATGTAAATAATTCTGTATGTATGTGTGTTACAGTATCTATATAGTGTACCATACAATATACATAATATTATTATACATATAAGGTACTACAGAATTATTCCAGACTGCAAACTGCAATGTTAAGACTTGATTGGTGGTCAAGAATTTCCTGAAGGAGGAAAGTGAATGAAAGGATGTGCAAACTACTAAAAGTCCAGTTTTGTCTGAAACATAAAATTGTATGGTTGCGTTTTCATAAATTTTATTTTTCTCTTCCTTGTTCAAATTTACCTATTATTTTTTGGTTACTGAATGTTCGAAGTGATGCAGCAATGCATGCTGATTATTTTAAAGACAGAGACACAGCAAGAAGTATCTTTCTCCTGCGTACATTTTTCTAAACCCATACAATGAGCAGGTTGAAATATGAAAGACAAAAGACAATTGTGTATATGGTTATGGGATATAAGAAGAAAAACTCATAATTAAAACTTTTAAATGGATGTATCATCTCTGCTTTTTATTTCAGACTGTGAACAAGTACAGCCTCCGCTGTGGCTGCAGACTTTAATGAATGCTTGCAAGCAAGCAGGCGATTTCAGTGTTCAGGGTGTTTCTATTTCCCTTGTGATGGACTTGGTTGGGTTGACTCAATCTGTCGCTCTCGTCACTGGAGAAAATCTGAACAGTGTGGAAACGAATCAGCCTCTTAGCCCAAACCAGGGAAGAGTGGCTGTGGTCATCAGACCTCCTCTTACTCAAGGCAATCTGAGATATATGGCTGAGAAGACAGATTTCTTCAAGGTACCGTGCAGTATCTCATTGCTCTTTGCTTTAAACTTCTTTAGTTCTTTACCTGGCTGGTGAAGACTGATACTCTTGGTGTGGTGAAACAAATTT